GAGAGAGAGAGAGAGAGAGAGAGAGAGAGAGAGAGAGATCCCCAAGTGCTGGGATTACAGACATTCACCACCACACCTGGCTCCAAAATCTTTAATGTTCCCTTCTCACATGTGAAACACTTTAGGTGACTCTGTAAGTTACAGAAGATATATATTTTTTTCCTCCTGGAATTGCTCTAATTCTTCCCAAAGAAATTTATTTTTTCAAAACTCGAAGCATTTGCTTCTGATGTATAAACTATTACCACAACATTTATGCATTTCCTCTTACCTTTTCTTTGACACATAGCAACTCAAATATTTAAGACTTTTACTGTGACAGACATGTCTGGTCAAGTCAAATGCAATTAGAGAAGGAAATACAGACATAAAGGGGGAGGGGAGCAAGGGAAGAGAGATGGAAAGAAGAAAAGAGAGGTCGAGGAGAGAGTCACATTTATGAAGGCATGGATCAATTATCAATTTATCAATTTGCTTGGGGATGTTTTTAAGCAGTAATGGCCTCTGTTCACACAATTTTAGTAAACTGGTGGCATGGCCTGCAGAGTGCTCTTATCTCTAATGTCAACAGTTACTTTTCTTAGATATGTACTTTAGTGATTGGAGCAAGTGTTGCTAACAAAACAAGAACATTTTAAAAGCTGATCTACCTCTTTTTTCTTATTGCACTACTGAAGTTTGAACCCAGGGCCTTACACATGCTAGCCAAGTACTCTACCACTGAACTATACTCCTAGCTAGATTTTTTTGTTTCAGTATGTCTAGATAGATCTAGATTTTTTGTTTCACTATGTCTGGTGTTTGCTATGCCTGGTGTCTGTTTGTACAAGAAGTAGAAAATGGATATTGTCTTAGTCACTTTTTTGTTTCTGAGACACCCAAAGTTAAAGTAGAAAAGGTTTATGTTAGCTCACAGTTTGTAGAGATTTCAGTCCATAGCTGGCTGGTTCCGAGGCAAGGTGGCATGACAGAGGGGCATCACAGAGGAGAAATAGTCCATGGCAGAGTAGACAGGAGGCAGCAAGGAGCAAGCCTCCCTTTCCCTTTTATTCCATCCAGGTTATAAGCCTTTTGGTTGGTGCCACCCATACCCAGAGAGGGGCTTCCCATTATCCATACCCAGAACTATACTAACCCAATCATTGGATTAATTTAGTATCACACATCCTTAATCCCAGTATTAGACCCAGTCAGCTCTGAGTACATGAATCTTTAGGGGGACATCTAGATACAAGACATAACGATACGTGAAGGTAGCATCACAAATGCTTATTTCTAATCCCCTTTATGCATAGCTGCTTCTGAAGTAACTCAAGTAACCACATATGCAATTAGTAGAGTATGTTTTAAATCCGTTGAAGGAGGAGTTGGGAAGCAGAAGCTAAATATCTAGTATACACATAATGTTAGTTCATGAGAAAGCAGGTAATGATGTCATTCAAAGATCAGCAAACTTCAGTACACACCTACTTGTTCTCCATGTGAAAGTCAACAGCTAAAGAGCCTTATAATATTCCATTACTTGTGAAGTTGTCAGAAAGTGAATATTACAATAGTCACAAGAATACAAATTGGAGGACAATTAGCATTACTAAACTCAACTTCTTATACTTTTTAATTTGGCCATTATTTTTCTAAGCATTTCTGAGTACACACTCACATCCTTGCACAAGTATGTTTGTATTGTTTCAAGTAGAAAAAATTAAATTTCAACCTAATATTCATCAACTGAAATGTACTTAAGTAGATCATAATACATAGCAACTACTGGATATATATTGTGTTTGAAAGAATGAAATAAACCTATAGACATTAATACGAAAGTTTCAGTGGACTTACTGTTCAGCAAAAAAGCAACTACAGGGCCGGGGATTTAGCTCAGTGGTTTTGCCGCCTGCTGTGCAAGCGCAAGGACCTGAGTTCAATCCCCAGTGCCAAAAAAAAAAAAAAAAAAGCAACTACAGAACCATATATAAATATGATATAAATTTTATAAAGACACAGAAAGCAATAAAGCTATATATCTGTGTGTGTGTGTACATGTGGGTGTGTATGCAGAAAGGGGCTTGGCTGGACACATCACACTGACAGGGATAGGGATAGGGTGGTGTGGAGAGAAAAGTAAAGATAGACTTATGCTCTATTGCTAATATTTTACAGTGAAAGTTCTTGAGAACTGCTTCATACATTTAGAACAAATAACAATTTAAAAATATTTCAGGAAAAAAAGAAAAACCTAAGAAGGAAGATTAAAATGGAAAAAACCTTATAAGGTTACAAATGACACTGATTGTGGTCCACAGAGGACAGTCCAGAGAGTTGCTGTAAACCTGATTTTAACACATTCATATTGTTTCTGTAAAGTACAGTGTATCTTAACCAGTTGTTTGAGAAATTCCGCTCTGATTGATGCAAACTGGGGTAGGATATTGATTCTTTTCCAGATATCCTAACTTTCAGCGCAGTAATAACAAGCTGGCATCTAGCACTCTCAAGGCCTGAGACATGGCAAGCAACGCTCTAGAAATGCTGTCTTCAGAATCAGGGGCCATTACTGAATTCCGTGACTTACATGTTCCCTGACTTTCCTGGATGCAAATCTTAACACCCTGCTGATGATCACCATTACTCTCTCTTGCTGGTATAAACTATCTTCACTCATCCACATAGTCATTTCCTGTTGGAAAAGGCAGAGTCATATTAGAGCCATGATATTTCCACTTCCTCAGGCCCCCTTCCTGCTACTCTCCAACTTCACTTCAGGGATCCCTCTGGTCTCCTCATTAATCCACACTTCACCTAATCTTATCTCAAAAATCCAGAAAACAAGCAACTAGTATACTCCCTCACTTACAACAGTAACAATATCTGGGTTTTATTTTATTTAATTCTATTAAACAAGTTATTCATATCCAGTAGAGTCACTTTGCCAGGCATCATGAATAGTATGAGTCTATAACGTGATAATCAGCTGCTTCACCTCTCCCTTTTCTAAGTACGTATCCTCCTCTTTAAAAAAATCATTGAATCTGGTTTGCTGCTTTAAAAGACAATTGAAATGTTATTGGATCCTTAAATATCATCCTATCCCAGAATTCCTCTGTAAACTCACCCCCCCAGAAACATTCTGTCTCTTGGGTGGAGAGCACATTACTGGAGGCAGCTTAGTTGGAAACTTCCTTCTAATTTTGATTCAAATCTTTCTGTTCATTGTATTTGTTCTAAATGTGACAAGCAGGGACATGTGTACTATGTTGGGGGGGGGGAACAAGACTACATATGGCTCATATGCCAACCACCATTGGCAGACTTCTTCAGGCAGACATGGAGTCCGTTGTATCAATGCCAACAGCTGGCCAGATCTCATCTCTTTCACCTGCTCCCATTTGGCATACTGTTTTGGACTACATTTCCCAAGGAGAAAGCATGTCTAAACCTCAGAAGGTCCACTTCTGTCTTCTCAGGGAGTGAGATTTCAGCTCTCTGTGAGAATCAGGGACTGCCTTAGGATTGGCAGGTATGAAAACAAAGTGGTTAAGTAACAGGCTCCAAGTTATGCAGCTTCCACCACATAATATTAGCATTGCACATATTATTGTTGCTCTAGGTTTCTATTTTCTTAACTCCAAAATGGGAGAAATACAAGCAACTTTCTCATAGGGTCGTTTTAGGGATTAAATGAGATAACCCGTATATTCATCTTAGTGCCTGATATAAAATGCTCAATAAATGGGAGCTATTTTGATAGCAGCATGAGGTGGTTAACAGAGAATGCAGGGGAAAAGAGAGAGAGGGAGAAAAATAATCACTTTGAAAGGCTGTGAGGGTAACATTTTTTAAATGCACAAAGAACATTTGGCTCCATTTGGCTCCCTACCCCCATGGCCATACTCCACATTTTGGTTTCCCTTCACATTCTTCCTTTCTTTTTTTTTCCTTCACATTCTTTATTTAAAGGATACCTGTCCGTCTTCTTCACTTGGATATATTTTTAATTTACACAACCCATGGATTCTGTGGTAGGATAAATCAGTCTTTTTTTTAGTGTTTCTAGACAGCTGGTGCCTGGTGCCATCGTGTTACGAATGCAAAATTAAGAACATAAGACATCACTGCTGTGTTCTGTCTTTGTCTGGGAGATTAAAAATGTAGTGAGTTCTTGGTTGTGAAAAGAAGAGTTTTGGTTAGCCTGGTCTTCCTTTGATACAGAGTATCACACACACTGGGGTGGTGATGGGGCCTCCAAGGCCCCAGGCAGCCCCACCCTATTGCTTTACTGGGCTGAGACCACCTAGCAACTTGCACAGGTTGAGTTTCATGCCTGTAGTTCTCCCTGGCTGCAGTTACATATTGATGACCATACAGTTCTGTGGTCCTGAGGCTGCCCTACCCCCATGGCCACTCTCCATGCTGCCCTAGCCGGAGCTCTCTGAGGTGCATCTGCCCCTGTGACAAGTCTCTGCCTGCACCTCTAGGCTGTCCATGACATTTTTTGAAATATAGGTAGCTCTTGTATTCTGTGTGCCTGCAGAAATAGCACCACATGGATGATGACAAGGTTTATGGCTTGTACCTTCCAGAATGGTGGGCTGAGTCACATGTGGGCCTCCTTGAATCTTGGCCTGGGCAGTAGAGGAGTTATGCTGGAATTCAGGGAACCGAGTTTCTAGTGGGTACAAGGCAGTGCACGCTGAGGTCCTGTGGGCACCTCTCTGGAAACTTTGTCCTTAAGGTCCTAGCTTGTCTCCAAAATGCCTTCAGGGTCATTCTCCTACTGCCTACATGAACAGAACCTGGCTTTCTTCTATCCATATTAACTGCCCTAGTAAATAGTTGTTTGACCATACCGTTTTTCACTCTCAAATGTCTTTATTTTTCACATGGCCAAGTCGAAAGTTTTCTAAGTATTTCCACCCTGTTTCCCTTTTCTTCATAAATTTCATCTTTAAATAATTTTTCTCCTCTCTCATTTTACTGTGAATAGCCAGAAGAAACTGTGCAGAACCTTGAACATTTTACTGCTTAGAGATTTCTTCTGCCAGATGTCCTAGTGCACCACTTGAAATTCTGCCTTCCAGAAGATGTTATAACACAAATTTCCTCCATGCTTTTACAACTGTGTAACAAAGTTGGCTTTTTTCCTGTTTATGCTATTGCTTCCTCATTTCCTTGTCAGATCCCATCAGAATGGCCTTTACTTTCCATTTTTCCACTACCACCCTGATCATGACCACTTAAGTAATCCTTAAGAAGATCTTGGAAAGTTAATCTTATTGTCAATTTGATTGGCTTGGAAGCTACCTAGGGAACTAGTAAAGCACACTTCTGGGCATGTCTGAATGGGTCATAGAGGGGTGACCTCGGGTAACATATCTGGTCCTTGGCCTCTTCTTCTCTGGTACTGTTACCCTGTTCTGCTTCCCAGCTGTCATGAACTGAGCATTTTTATTCTTTTTTGCCCTTTCCCCATGATGTTCCTGCCTTGGAGCCAGTCCATCATAGACTGAACCCTCTGAAACTGTGAACCAAATTTTTCTCTTTTAAATTGAGAGTGTTGAGTGTTTTGTCCCAGCAATAGGAAAACTGACTAATAGAGAAAATTACTACCTTAGAAGCAAGGTTATTGCTGTGACTCTACCTGATCAGGTGGTTTTGAAGTTCTTGGAACTGGATCATGGTTTGGAACTCTTTGGAAAAGTTTGTAGAAGTAGGCTGGAGGAGCTCTAGAATGCTGTAAGCAGAGCCTAATGAGTGATTTCAGTGAGAGCTCAGTGAACCAGAATGGTGATAGGAATGAGAACAGTAAAGGCTAAGCTTGTAAGTTTCTAGCTGGGAATGAGGACTCTATTGGGAAGAGGCTATACATGTTAAATTCTGGCAAAAAAAAAAATGTCCACATTTTGCTCACATCCTGAGACTTGGAATCTCAAGACATGGGCAAAGTGAGGCTAAGTTTAAGGATGATGAACTCATCTGACAGAGGAAATTTCAAGGCAGCCCAACATTCAGGCTGTGGCATGGGTGCTGCTAGTTGCTTTTGGCCAGAAAGCTAGTTGCTTTCATACAGATGTGTATATGTGCACATGTGTGCATGCATGTGCGTTCATGTGGTGTGTGTGTGTGTGTGTGTGTTACCCCAGGGCCATTGCATTGAGCTACATTCTCAGACCTTTTTTATTTTGAGACTAGGTCTTGGTAGGTTGCTAAGATTCCCAGGCTGGGTTCAAATTGGCAGTCCTCCTGCCACAGACTTCCAGAATGCTGGGATTACAGATGTGTACTAGCACATCCAGTTTGGCCAGATTTGTAGTGAGAATTAGGAGCAAAAAGCAGAGTAGAAATATTTGAAAAACTTAAATTCTGGTTTAAAGGAGACCTTATATAAAGCTGGGACCAAAGAAAGTTTGGTTGTTGAAGAGATTAATGCCATTAAAAAGAAACCAAGTACTTTGATCAGAGATAAGAATAAAGATACTTTGAGGAGATTTAAGGAATCAGCAAAACCCCACCCAACACAGGCTCTAGGGTGCAGAAATATAAACTTTTTATTTGACTTCACTTTTTTTTTTGGTACTGGATCAAACTTGGGACCTTGTGATTGCAAGGCAGATGCCAGAACCACTGAGCTAAATCCCTGGCCCTTATAAACCTTTTATTTGAGAAGAGAGTCCCTGGGTACCCTGCTCAAGAAGGACCACCTAGAGAATTGGTTCCCTGAGATTCATTTCACCATGTTCAGCTATCTATGTACTCAGAAGCCACTGCAGCCGTGGTCTAAGGTGGCTTGGCTACCACTCAAGCTGGCGGCAGACCTTGGCATCATTATGGTGATTTTATAGGCATGCAAAATGCAAGAGTTGTGGAGTTAGGGAGGTTTCTACCCAAAATTCAAAGGAAGACCTGGGAGGTCAGGCAAGGAGCCCCTACATAAAGCTGTGGAAATGAAGCCAAAGTGGATGTTGGAGATGCCAGAACATGGAATGTCTGTCAAGGAAAGCTGCAGGCCTCAAGTGGAACAGCCCAAGAGAGGCGGTATGGCTGAAACTTCAAGGACATGGGGGTGAAGCTGCCCAAGATCTCTGAAACTCACATCTTACCACTGTGTGCTCCAGATGTCGGACAAGGAGCTGCTGTAGGGCTTATTGTTTGCCCTGCTGGGTTTCAGTCTTGCTTTTGTCTGATACTTTTCTCGCCCTCTATTCCTCCCTTTTAGAGTGGGAATATTTATTCTGTGCTATTGTATGTTGGAATAACGTAACTGGCTTTTGATTGTTTGCAGGGATCCACAGCTAAGAATTCCCTTTGAGTTCCAGAGAAGAGCCTGGACATGAACTACTGAGCAATACTAGAACTGTTAAGACTTTGGGGAGAGGATTATTGCATTGTTGAATGCAAGATAATTATGTTAGACAGAATTATTAACTTGTTATTGTATTTATTTAGAGATTAAGGATGGTTTAAGGAGATATATCTAGGTGTCAAGCTGAGAAGGGTGGGGTGTGATGGTTAATCTTAGCTGTCAACTTGATTGTCTTAGGTGCCATCCAGGGAATTGGTGGAACACTGTCTGGGTGGGTCATGGAGGAGTAACCTTGGGTACTATATCTTGTTTCTGGTGCCTTCCCCTGCTCTGCTTCCTGGCAGCCACGAACTGAGCAGCTTTGCTCTGGCACACCCTCTGTTTGCCTTGGAGCCATCTGACCAAGGACTGAAACCTCTTCCTTTAAATTGTGATGTCAAGTGTTTGGTACCAGCAACAGGAAAGCTAATACAATAGCCTTTAGTGCTCTATTCATAGCAATATAAACTTTTTCTAGCCTGTGCCTCCAAATTCTCTCAGGTTCATTATTTAGTTCCCAAACCACTTTCACATTGTTTCTCCTTTACTGTACCTTTAAGATCTGTAGTTTGTAGAGGTCTTTAGACACTAAGATCAGAATAGTGTCCTCAAACAAATTTAAAATATCTCGATATAAAATCTGAAATACAAAAATATTTGCAAAGCCAGCTTGTTAGTCTTTAATAAATTTTACCTAATGTGTAGTGTTTTTCATCCCAGTATCCTAAATTCTCCCCATGTACTGAAAGTAAAAATGGAGAGAGGTGGCTATATTGATAATAGCTCACCCAATACCATAAGCCATGGATTGTCTGCTGCTCCAGCTTATAGATCAAGCGTACCGTGTAGTAATGCTGAGGAAATAGAGATCCTGCATGTTCCTAATCTTACTATAGGACTATTCCTATGTCCACTTTTCTCTGCTTAGATCCTCCTGAAATGGCAAGGTTTCTGTTTCGTTGATAAAGCTTGTTACCGCTAGTCTGAGAGGATGGAAGGCACACCAGGAGGCTTGGAGACAAAGTAAAGCTTTATTTATCCTGGTGGGCCAGGCTGCTTTCACACTTGGGAGACTGGTCCCATCCAACACTTAGTAGATATACACTTTGGGAGGGGGCGTTACAAGTGAGGTACTCTTGTTGTACATTCATTGGTTACAGAATTTGATTATACATTAACAGGCAGAATCAAACATGGCATTGGCTCACATGTAATACTGGCAGCAAGTTCATTGGGTAATTCAAAATATGGGGGTTAATACCTCATTTGTATCTGGGCAGAAAGACAAAACTACTTTAGAGACAAAGACATTCCTGAGATGCGGAAGTTGGCTTGGACATGTTGAACAAAGAAAAATTTTCAAGTAGAGAATTTCCCATAGTAAGTCCAGCTTGAACCATGGAGGCAAAACTCCCACCCCCTTTTTTGGGCTGTACTTTCCTATAAACTCTCTGCCCTTTGCTAAGCCAATTAACCAAATATATCTTCACTTATTTGTTCCTATAAACCTTATGCAATTTATTATATCTTGTTAGACATAGAATTCATGAAGGAATTCAAAGGCATGAGTCAGTGCTGAAAAATCCTATTTATCTATTAAACCTAAGAAAAATGAAGGAGAAAACATGACATGAAGGAGGAAAACAAGGATTATGGCCTATGAAGACACACCGTACAGGTTTGCTTTGTTGTATCATAATGTCACCTCATGAGTAAGGAAGGAAGGTCATACCTCCAGGTCCTTGACATCTTCATCGCTGGTCTGAAATGTTCCTTTGTCAAAACTTGGTAGTCCAAATACCATTTTAAAAGATTTCTTTGTTACCTCCAATTGAGTTTCATATTGTTGTAAGGGATCTACAGAGCTGACAAGAAAAAGGTATATAATTATTAAATTGATGAGTTAAAATGTAATCTAACTTATTGGCTTTTTCTTAGTGATTAGAGAGAGTATACTAGATATTGTGGTCCAGCTTTTGGGTTTCTATGATACCTGGGTCTTAAATGTTCTCTTAACAATGATGCTTTAAATATAAAGAATTTCTTTATAAATATACTCTACAGTTATTTAGAAATCATAAACATAATAATGTAAAGAGTCCTTACATTCCCATCAAGTAAACCCATAGTAAGCTTTAGACAGTTCAGCTGTATTGTTGCCACACTTTCTCTAGTCAGTGACATCATATTTTTTGACATTTTAATATTTCCAATATTGAGATGCATCTTCAAATTGATGGCAAGTAAATCTGTCCACTATGACCACTATCATAAGCAGGATAACCTACTTATCTATATAATACAGAAAGGACTGGAAAAGCATAAGAAAGAAATAATAGTTGCTTGAATTAAGATGGTAGAATTTGGAGTAATTTTTTACTTCTCACAACTATGTCCATTTGTTTGTTTGTTTGTTTGAGACAGAGTCTCGCTATATAGTTCAGGCTGGCCTTGAATTCACTATGTGACCCAAGTTGGCCCTGAACTCACAGCAATCCTCCTGCCTCAGCCTCCCAAGTGCTGGGATTACAGGAATGTGCCACTATGCCTGACCTATGTTTTTAAAATATTTTCAAGATATTCAATTAGTGAAATGAGAGCATTATAGTTTCCATACCTGGAATTCATGGCCAGAATCATAGACTGATGACATAACAATGTTACATAAGCTTCATGTAGGCTGTTAGTTAGATGCTCCTAAGTACCATAGAAAACAAGAATCAATGTGTGAGAATTACATGCAGAGTAATGTGCAGCTAGGCATTAAAAGTGCTAATTAAAGAGAATCCATAAGGAACTTATAATTTTTTTTCAATAAACTGGAGAACAAGAGCTCAATTGGCCAAAGCAATCTACAGAAAGAATAAAGCTGGAGGCATCATATTTCCTGATTTCAAAATATAATATAGAATTAGAACAGTGTGGACAGGCATAAAAACAGACACATAGACCAAGGAGCAGCATTGAGAGTCCAGAAGTAAACCTAACCACAGGTGATCAATTAATCTTTGATATGGTGCCAAAAATACACAATGTGGAAAGGATAGTCTTACCAATAAATGATGCTGGCACCTGGATATCCACCTGCAAAGGAATAAAACTGGACCCTTCCCTTATACCACATATAAAAATTAAAACTTAACTGTAAGACTAAAGCTGTAGAATTCCCAGAAGAAAACACTGAGAAAGCTTCTTGATATTGGCCTTGGTATTGATTTTTTTGAGTGTGACACCAAAATCATAACCAATTAAAAGTAAAAATAAGAGAGATTTTGTCACACTAAAAAGTTTCTACACAGCAAAGGAAATAGTTAAGGAAACAAAAAGGTAATCTGTGGAATGGGAGAAAATATTTCCAAACTATATATCTGGTAAAGGATTAATATCTAAAATATAAAAGGAACTTTACTCAGTAACAAAAAAAGCAACCTGATTAAAAAATGGGCAAAGGACTGATATAGATATTTTCCAACAAAGATACAAAAGGCCAATCATTACATGAAAAAAACACCCAACACCACTAGGCGTCAGAGAAAAGCAAATGAAACCACAGCAAGACATCAATTCACATCTGTTAGGATGCCTATTCTTTTTTTTTTGTACCCGGGGTTGAATTCGGATCCTTGCACTTGCAGGAGGCGGAACCACTGAGCTAAATCCCTGGCAGGATGCCTATTCTTAAAAAGACAAGAAATAACAAATGTTGATGAGGGTTTGGAAAAAAGGAGAACACTTGCACACTGTTGGTGGTAATGTGAAGGGTTACAGACATTAGGGAAAACAGGATGGGGATTCCTAGAGAAATTATGTGTAGAACTTCCACACGATCCAACAATCTCACCTATGAGTATATATCCAAAGGAAATGAAATCAGACTCAGAGAGATGCTTGCATCCCTGTGTGTTTGCAGTGTTTCTAACAATAGCCTAGATATGGCCTTAACTTAAGTGTCTCTTGATAGATGGGTGCATGAAGAAAATGTGGAATAGTTTTACAGTTGGGTATTATTTAGCCATACAAAGAAGGAAATCCTCTCTTTTTCAACAACATGGACAACCTGGAGGTCATTGTGCTGAATGAAATAAGCCAGACACAGAGTCAAGTACTGTATTATCTCACTTATGGAACCTGAAAAACACTGAACTTGTTGACACCAAGAATAGAATGGTGGCTACCAGGGGTTGTAGTAGGAGGAGGGAAATGGTCAGAAAGGATACATTTTAGCTGTAAGATGAACTTGTGGGGCTCTGATGTACTTCATGGTTACCATAGTTAACTTGCATTACTGTATGATCATTGCTGTATTTTTATTTGAAATTTCCAAAGATTAAATCTGAAGTGTCCTTGCCATACTTACAGACACACACTCACACCACACACACACAGTTTTAATGAAGTGGTGATGTATTAATGAATTTTACTATGGTAACCACTTAGCAATGTATATGTGTATTGAATCATCACAATGTACACCTTGAATAACTGGAAGAAGTACTCTAGAAGGGCAGTACTTTTCTTCCACATAATCCACTCTTTCTTGCCCATGCAAGCCTCCATTGCAAAGTCACTTTCTCATTCCAGGACCATTAGTGCTGTTCATTGAAATTCCTGGTCTCTACTTCCGAAATAGCTCAAAATTCTTCCTTTGGGAACTTTAATATGATGTATGATAATGATGTTTCTAAGAGGACTTATTCCTTCTGAAGCATAGGCAAATGCCTACCAGTGATTACTCATTCATTACCTTAACAAAGCCTTTCTGTGCTAGCTAGCTGACCCCGTCCCCCAGGCTTGGGTGCTGTGGGCTATGTGTTGCGCCTCTGTGTGGTGAGAGCTATCCCAGTGCATAGGGCTACATGCCCAAAGAACAAGAAAGAAAAACTTCCGGATTGTGTGGGATCCGAACTAACAAAATGGCATTTCCCCATTAGGCATACACATCTTTTCTAGGATGCAGCACATTAAACATTTCCTGACACCTCACTGTGCTACACTCAAGAGGTTATTCTCCTCTCTCTAAAATATTTATATCTGTGTCTATTATCACTTCCTTGCAACACCACTTATTTTATGTAATCTCGAGAGAATGATTCTTTGTTGTGTCGCTTATTAGCATATCTCATGTTATTACTTAGAGAACTTAAAATCTGCCATGTGATAGACAACTCTCACTGTAACATGGAAACCTGTAGTGGTCTGTCTAATTTTTGTTCTGCCCACCATTTCATTTGGCCAGAACTAGCTCCCATTTCTCCAAGCACCGACCAACTCAGCATTCTGTCTTTATATAAGTGACAACTATGCAGGGCTGTTGCCTTAATGAGAGCTTTTCACATAAACCAGGTTCTAATTGGGCTTGTGTCCTTGGATATTACTTTGTAATATTTACAATGTCTTAAATCACTGGTTCTGAACACTGACAGTATATTAAGTGACTGAAAAATAATGACTGATTGCAGAGCTGTGCCTCCTGAGGTTTTGTACCAAAGTCCAGGCAACAGTATTCTTTAAGGCTTTCTAGATGATTCTGACGTACATCTAGAACATAGCAGCACTCTTTTTTTTGGTACCTGGGATCAAACTCGGGACCTTGTGCTTGTGAGGCAGGCACCAGAACCACTGAGCTAAGTCCCCAGCCCTAGAAGCACCCTTGATTTTCAATTTCTTTTTTTTGGGGGGGGCAGAGTTTGAACTCAGGACCTTGCATTTGCAAGGCAGGCACTGGAACCACTGAGCTAAATTCCTGGCCCGCTAAAAGCATTCTTTTAAGTAAACTATTTACACAGTCCTGCAGCTTGCTTGCACAGCAATACATTGTCGTTTAGTTGATCTATAATACCTTTTCAGAAAGATACTTAGGAGAGAAATAGCCAAGCTCAATGGAATTTCTAGTTTTAGTTTTTAGTTTGTTTTTTTTTTTGGTACTGGAGATTGAACTCTGGACCTTGTGCTTCCCACTAGTTTTAGTTTTAGAACAATCTCCATATTGATTTCCATAGTGGTTATACTAGTTTATATTCACACCAACAATGTAGAAGTGTTTCTTTTTCCCCCATAGCCTTGCCAGCATTTGTTATTATTTGATTTCTTGATGATAGCCATTCTTTCTGGAGTAAGATGGAATCTCAGTGATGTTTTAATTTGCATTTCTCTAGTGGCCAGAGATGTTGGATATTTTTTCACATGTTTATTGGCCATTTGCACTTTTTCTGGGAAGTGTCTATTATTTTAGTTGTTGATTTTTTGGTTAAGTCTTTTATTTTGGGGGGGGTCTAGTTTTTTTGATTTCTTTATACATTCTAGATATTAGTCCTATGTCTGAAGAGTGAGGCAAAATTTTTTCCCATTCTGTAGGTTATCTCTTAACTGTTGGTTGTTTCTTTTGCTGTGCAGGAGCGTTCTAATTTGATATAATCCCATTTATTGATATTATTTCTTATGCATTCAGAGTTTTGTTCAGGAAGTCCTTGCTTATGTCTATGCCTTCAAGAGTTTTATCTATTTTATCTTCCAGTAGATTGTTTTTGTTTTAATAATTTGGATCTTTGATGCATTTTGATTTTAGTTTAGTACATGGTGAGAGATATGGGTCTAGATTCAATCTTCGGCATGGGTACAGCCAGCGGTATTTGTTAAAGATGCTATCTATCTGCTTGCCCATAAATCTGCATAGCTCCTAAAGAAAGTAAACTGGAAAATTTGCCCTCAGGTTGTCTATTTCATGTTGCAAGTATGCATAACCATATCTACTGACAAGGGACCCTACTGGTTTTAATCCAGTGACATAATATAAACAATCATTCATACCTACTTACATAGTTTCCAGGTCTCAAATATCCAATTCCTGGAAGCACAATATACTTTGTACAGGTACCATCTGGATTTCCCATAACCTAACAGCAATTAGACTATTGATCAGGAAGATGAGTACTATGTCTAACAAGCCATGGGAAGAAAAATACTGATATTTAAAATTTCAATAATAACTTTCCATTTACCCTTTGGGGTTTCTAGGTGTTTCTTGTTTGGAAAGTAAAGAGGGACTGGCACTAATGGAATATTCTCCTGATGTTTGGCATTAGCTCACAGATCCAACACTCACTGTGGTTTCCTGCTAGACTACAGGACTTTGCTAAAGCTACCCAAAGCCATCCAAAGATTATTGTCCTATGGAATTCTCTGTGTGAAATTTTGCAGGGATGTCCCATGAAAGAAACACATTTTCCAGTAGTTTATCTAGCATCAGCCTTCTTATCTGGGAAAGCTTCTATCCAACCAGAAAACATACAAAGCATGACCAGCACATATTGGAAACTTATGAAGGGTGGCAACTGAATGAAGTCTGTCTGTAAATGTTGAAAGGGTCCATCAGATAGTGGAAATGCAACACTAGTTTTTACTGTCTTTTCAGGATTATGGGTTTGGTAAACCAAACATGAATTATAAACCATTTTAGCAATTTTAGAAATTATTTCACTTATATTTTTTGGTCATTCGGGCCCATGTTAATCACATATGTGAGTGAACAAAAGCAATGGCAAGCACAGGAGCTCTTAAACTTGCTTCTAGTGCTTTCTCAGGAACAGCAGAAGCATTACTGAACAGAGTATGCCTCTTCATCCAGTTGTTTGCAGCAGCAAAAAGGTTTGGGAGATCTCGAAGGGACAACTCTAGAACAGCAACACATTGGACTGCTCTAGTAAGCACAGAATTTAAATTGTTTCTGATATTTTAAGAGGCCTTCAAGAGGCAGAAACTAGCTGGGTGTGGTGGCACATTCCTGTAATTCCAGCACTCAGGAGGCTGAGGCAGGAGGATTACCGTGAGTTTGAGGCTAGCCTGGGCTACACAGTGAGTTCAAGGCCAACCTGAACTACATAGTGAGACCCTATCTCCAAAAAAAACCCAAAACAAAACAAAAAAAAAGAAGCAGAAACTTTACTGGTAACAAAACAACATAAGACTGGATTATCCATGTACTGTTTGAGAAAATGTTGCAGTATGTTACATGAAGTTGTTTGGGCATAACTGGAGACCATCTTTATCTGCTTAATCAACTGCTTAGGTGACAGGTAGCTCATGTTGAATATTCCATATAAAACTCATGATTTGTCTAACTCATGATTGATTATTGAGCCAAATGATAATAGGATGAACCAATTAACAAATTGGCAAAGTCCTTAAAATCTGATTTTCCAAATGATGTCATAAATGGATTAAAGTTCTAGACTTGTTTTGCATTGTTTCTTATTTTTCCAGATGAAGCAACTGCAATCCTAAACTTGTAAAATGATGCATCTTCAGTTGGGTTCAGCTCTAGGTCCACTCCGTGCAGTTTCTTTTTTGGGGTGTGGGGGTTTTGAAACCCAGTCTTGTTATGTAGTTCATGCTGGCCTCAAACTCCTGCCTCAATCTCCTGCATGCGATTACATTTCACCTGTCATGCCCCTGCCCTGCTCCCATGTCACATGCTGCTGCCATCTCCTTGAAGGAGGGGGGCACCTTGGCATGGCTAAGGTCAGGGAGGGAGGAATATGGGCAAATTGTTAACATTCCAAACATTCCTGAACCCCAGTTTGCTGTGAGGAATACAGCTAGCCTTCCTGAAGAAGTCCCTGGTCTCAGCACCACCATTTTTTCCCACAGAGTGACATCTGTCAGTCAAACAGTTTGTCATCCCACTCCCTCACTGAACCTCTGCCCTGCAGTTGCAGCTGTCTGGAGCCTGGCAACCACTTGGCCCAATCGCAGGCCTGCAGCTGCTACATAAGCAGCATTCCTCATAACTTCTTGGGTTGGTCTAGGAGGGCTCCCTCCGGTGTTCTGATCCCTCTGCACTGTAGCACAGGCCTAGTTAAAATAAGAACTGGATTTGGTGGTCTGTAAACCTGGCTGTGATTTATTTCTTGGATATTGTGGGCCACAAAGGTCCTGTAAATATACTCAGGTGCGGACCAAGCCACGGTCTCAAAAGAGCGAGCAATAAACACCCGGATCTGTTACGTCTAAAGAGCTTCAGAGATCAGCAGTCAACAAAGATCAGTAGCAGCACTGACCAACAGTATCTGGTACAAGCTGGCGGCAGCCAGCAGTGGCAATGACCAGCAGCCAGCTGTGCCAGCTGTTGCATCCAGTATCATCTGGTAGCATCAGAACTGCTAGGAGACCTACACTTTACTGATTTGTGACTTCCATCTGAATCAAGTATAAGAACCCTCAGTTGATTGGCAACAAAGGGAGAAGGCAAGATGCAAAATCACAAAGCTCTCAAGCAAGAAAATGATGTTTTCTGGCAGGCTGGCTGAGAGGGGCTGTAGTTGTGGAGAAGGATGTCCACTGTGATGATGGAAGGGAGGGCAGGAGCAAGGAGATGTATACAGATGGCAGAGAAGGGGAGGAAAAACTGTAGGCTGGGCGAAAACTTTCAACGTTTTGAATTAAGTGTTGAAGGTCATTTCTAAGGGCACAAGAGGGGGCCAGGAACAAGGCTGCAGGGGAGAACAAGGTAAAAACAGCTTTAAATCAAGTTGCCTTTTTCCCCCTTGGACCACACACATACTTTAAATGTGAATTGTAATATTCTTATCATAGTCAGTAAACAGGCTTTATTTTGTTTTGTTTTCACAAGTCTTCAGTTACAGTGGCCTCACAGAATATCACATACCATGTGCTGCCATCTTGCACTGTGCTGCTTCTTCTGGGAAGAAATCACTGGCCAGAAAAACGAAGGAAATGAATTAAAAGCAATGAACACAATCTCTTATCACCTTCCAGGGACCTTATCCCTAAACCTGAAGCTAGTGTAACCTTGATAGTAAAGCCCAGAAAGGACACACACACTACAGACAAATTCACTATAGGCATCGCAGAACAATTAGCAACAGAGTAAGGCATCACATTAAAAGAGTAGTGCACTATGACCACATGCCATTTATTCTGAACAAAGAGGGAGGTTCAATAGAAAAAGAACCTGTAATACAATTCTTAATATGAATAATTTAGAAAGGAAAAGGAAAATTTACATAATTTTTGAGGCAAAATTTTTGATAAGATTTAAAATCTGATTGTGACAACAATTTTTAATAAAATCAATAGTTAATGTCTTAGTATGATACACAGAAAATCCAGCCCCCAGTGGAAGTTCAATGTAAGAATTATATACTGAAATTGTTAGTTTCTATTTTTTTTTTTTTGCATTATGAGGGAAGAATAATTCTCTCATTTCTACTTAGAATGTATACAGAAATTTCTAGTGAACAATGTGGCTACTCTTGTGAATGTTCTGTGGCTAATACGGGGTTAAAAAATATATATTTCTTTTTTCACAAATGGAGATCAATATACGACACATGTCTCTCTCTCTCACACACACACACACACACACACACACACACACACACTCACTCTATCTTTATCTAACATATCCTAAAGTCTTACTTGTTTCTGGATTCCTCGATGACTTTCCTTCCTGACAAAGGTGAATTAAAGTCTGCTACAGTGCTGCAATGGAGTATTAAGAATTAGTACAGTGGGCCAGGGATTTAACTCAGTGGTTCTGCCACCTGCACCCCAAGTGCAAGGACCTGAGTTTGATCCCCAGTACCAAAAAAAAAAAAAGAGAAAAGAATTAGTACAGAAAAATATAACTTTCATATAGTTTTGTTGCTCTGTCAATTTTGATCCTATGATGTAGAGATTGCATTAATTTTCTGTCGTTATGTATCAAATTACACAAACTTAATACCTTAGAAACCTCCATTTATGGTTTCATAGTTTCTGTGGGAGCTTTGGTCTCAGCCGTATCCTCCACCCTGGGTCCTGCCCACCTGAAGTCAAGGCGTTAGCTGGGACTGCTACCTCACCTGAGGCTCAGTGGCCTTTTCCAAGGTCATTTAGGTCATCAGCAGAATTCACTTCTTGGAGACCATCAGACTGAGGGCCCTGTTCTCTTGTGGGCTGTGGCTGAGAGCATCACTCAGCTGATGGAAGCTGCCTACAGTTCCTGGCCATGAGCCCCTTCCATGGGCCCCTCCCACTACCTGTCCCTGCCTTGTTTCCAACAATCTCCACGCAAGAATTCAAGGGCTCCTGCTGTTAGTTCAGTCCCACTCGATTGATCTCCTTTTAGATTAGCTCAAAGACAGCTGATTAGTAATCTTGATTATAGCTGCAAAAACCCTTTTGCTATGAGGCATAGCAAAATCAGGAAAATGATTTCCCATCCTATTCAGAGCTTCAGGCTGTATCTTTCCTTGACTTTTAGCTTCAAGGAAGAAATCAAGGTAATTATATTACCTATTTGCTTTATACTTTTATTAGATCATTTATAGTTTCATGGTTAATTACACAGTATTTACATTCAGTTCAGTAACATAACTTTACTGTCCTTTATGCTTTAGCACTATATATTTTTTCTTTTTAATAAAAAAAAACCAATACCCTGGTAAATCCTCTGCTTTTGGTGGTGGTGGGGCATAACTCCCCTGTCAGTCAGGAGCTGGGCTATTGTTGTGTCTCATATCCCTGGGGACTGTGCTCAGGGCCTGGTGCAGGGCAGCCAGTATGGAAAAGGTGCTCACTCCCAGCAAGAAGCTGGGACAGAAAGATAAGTGGTGGTGGTGGAAAGGACAAACTGAGGAGATGAAGAAAGGCAGTGAGGATCCAGGAGTCTGATTGTTATGTTGGCAAAACATCAGAGGAGGTGATCAAGCAGAGTCAGTTGAAGAGGCAGCTTGAAATGGAAGGGAGCTTCCAAGGGACTCACCAGGACACCTGGGGACCTTGCTCCTGGGCTGTGGGGTGAAGAGGGAGGGCTCACAGGTAGAATGAGAAGAAAAAGGGCTCGCAACTTGGAAGGGTGGCAAAATGGAGGGAATCCCCTCAGCCATTTTGGACAGTGAAGGAGTTAGCAAATGTGCTGAGTTCCAGAGGCAAAGATGGGGGCTCTGAGGTGTGCCCCAAGCAGGGGATGGGGCTGCAGAGATGTGGCACTCAGAGGCTGGGCCCACAGGTTGGTCTCCCCAACCAGGCCAGAGGAAGCTCTGTGGGCAGCAGGTAGGGTGGCTGGGGGTGCATAGCTTTGGGAGGTTGGGGGCCTGCAGCCCTGCCAGTTCAGGTTCCAGGTGGGTGAGAAGGATGAGGGGGCAGAGCGGTCATAAGGAGGGGCCAGTTGAGCTCTGAGCATCCCACAGGAGGACAGGGACCAGAGGGAAGGGGCCCAGACTGGGTACTGAGCACTCTATTCAAATAGATTCTGAGGGTGTCTCACTCATTTCTTGCTTGGCTAATCTTCCTTTTCTATTAGTATTTTTTTGTACCAGGAATCGAACTCAGGACCTTGTGCTTGTGAGGCAGGTGTGGCACCACTGAGCTAAATCCCTGGCCCTTTTTCTATTAGTTTATACAAGAAGCAATCTTAGGAATAGTATTTCTAGGTTGACAGTCAAGAAGTCCATGTCATGTGGACCCCATTGTCCTAGGATCACAGAAAGGAACTCAAGGGACTCCAGCTCTCTCAAATTTTCAGGGTCTGGGGGTGCAGATCAGTAGAGCATATGCTTAGCATGCCTGAGGCCCTGGGTTCAATCTCTAGCACAGGAAAAATCAAAGTTTAGTCAACCATCCAGTTGGTACTTAGTGAGCACCTTCTGTGTGCCAGACAGTGAGGCCAGGCCATGAGGCCTCCTACCTCACCTCCTGGCTGCCTCTCTGCATTCTCCACCCCGGGCCTGAACTCTTTCTTCTTCAACAGGAAGGAAAACAGGACTAACCTCCCTGTCCAGCCCCCTCCAAACTCTCCCGTTCTGCAGCTAGAAGGAACTTTCCAGACCACGTGGACAACCAGGGCCTGGACTTCCAGGGCTCCAGGGTCAGCTTAGGCCCACCTAACCTGACCATGTCACACACTCCAGGCAAAAAGAAGGATTTCTCTGCTCTATTAATACCAGACTTTCCCACCTGCTCACAAGGTGAAAAAATACCGTTTGCTCACACCCCTTCCTCTAACTGCATTATTCCTCAAAGTGGGGCAGGATGGCCAGCTTGACTTCACACTGCCCCATCCTTCCTCCCACACTCCCTCTGGTTCATTCACCTCTCCGCTGGGTTTTCCAGGCTCCACTACACAGGCACACTACAAGAGGGGCCCACAGGTGGGGGTGCTGCCTACCTGGAGAGGCGATCCGGGCTCAGAGAGGGGCCCAGGGGCTGGGTGAGCTCCCAGGAAGGCCTGCAGAGTGGAGGCAGTGGCTGAGGCCCAGCTCACACCTGGTGATGCCCTGTACACACCTGATGAATCCCAGCCCCCTGGTCCTTCTTCCCCGAGGCTCCAACTGCCGCGCTCACCCTCACAGAGATTCTTAAAGGGGCCACTCCCCAACACCCGCCCCCAACCAGGTGGGGCCAAGCAAGTTCAGGGGACAAAGGTTTTGAATTTAAATCACCACCAACCCTCATCAGGTAAAATCCCCCTTCCATGACTAGCAGAAACCACTGCATTCTACATTGCTCTGTGCTGCTAAGATGTCCCTGTTAGATCATTTATAATTTCATAGTTTATTTTATTTATGTTCAGTTTAGTAACATAACCTCACATTCCTTTATGCTTTAGCATAAAGGTGTATTGAATGCATTTTGACTTGTATTTTCAGCTTCTGAGTTTATCAGAAAAAGAGGTTATCCTAAGGTGAGGAGCATCTGTGCACACTCCGAGGGGCTGGACTTAGGTGAGCTGGGGATCTGATCGCCTAGGCAGCATGCCAATGTTAAAGGCAAGACTCGCACTGAAGTTAGGGATATTATTCCTATCATCACCTAGTCTGGCTAATTTCGAAGTCACCTTGGAAAGTGGTTTCTCAGTCAAAAGAATAGAGAAATGGGGCTAGGATGTATCGCAGTAGTGGGACAATTCAGCCTCAGCCCTGCAAAAAAATCAAATTGAAATTAAAATCTTAAACAGAATTTGAGAAACAGTTGTATATGCCATTCTGGAGATGCACAAATCATATTAGCATATTAAAGGCTCTGAAAAGTCTTGCAGAGAGGATAGCCTTTAGGCTCTGACCTTGCAATTCCCTAACTCTTTGAACCTAAGTTTTCGTTTGTATTAACATCCCAATGCACTATTGTAACATGACTTCAGGAAGCACTGGCTTCAAGTTGCAGTTGGGGAAACAGTTTCTTCTCCTCTATGAGACTCAGTCTCCCCAGCTGCATCATAAGGACTCGTATGAGTTTGTGGCAGAGCAAGCACCAGAACCCAACCCTGACCTGGGACTCTTTTGCAGGGCCACTTCATCCTAATTGGTCTTTGTCCACCATGTTGAACTAGGCAAAAGAGAGGGGAAGACTCTCAGAGAGAGAGAGGAAGCCCACATTTGAGACATGTGGATGAGTATCCCACTTTGAGGTTTAGAAAAGGGTAGCAACTTGCCTGAAGGCACACAGCAATTTGATCCTAAACCTTCCGGATCCTAAGCTCCCTTCTCTCCTTGGCAATGGCAGTACTTCCTGAGAGGCACAGCTCACGGCATGCCTATGGGGGAGCTCACCCCCTGGTTGCAGTTTCCTGGCTGGCTTTAGCTTGGCTAGGTGTGACCAAAGGGACCCCAGCTGGCCAGGCTCCAGGGTAGTCCCTGCCAAAAGCGGATTGGTGTGCCGGAGGATCTGAACTGAGGGGTGCTGAGAGCAAGGCAGACTCTGGAGTTGCTAAGGACCTGGACATGCTGAGAAGACCCTGTGCTGAGGTCTGTAGGTCTGGTGTTGAGGTTCAGCTCCACCCAGCCCCTCTGTGCTCAACTGTTAGGAGCCACTGTGGCCTGCTGCTGGGAGAAATGGAACATGGTCATGTTTGAAGAGGCCCAAACACTAAATTATAAAAAATCCTACCACCCCTAAAAAGTGCATTCTAGGACTAAGTTCAGATCCTGGCTCCACCAGATCAACATGTGTACTCTTAGGCATGGTGCTTGCTTCACTTTCTCTCACCTTCTTCATCTGTAAAATGGAATAAAATCTTGTACACGCATGTGGATGCTTTGGGCTAAGTAACAGAAAACCCTGACTCAAGTGGTTTACATGAGAAAATGTACTGCCTTGTAGAAGTCTCAGGTTAGGGTGGCCAATCTGTCCATTTCCTTGCAAAATAAGGAAAATAAATTTTAGTAAGAGTCCTGCTAAATCAGTTTAGCAAGAATCTCCGTCCTTGAAACCTGACCTGGTTGCTCATCCCCCTGTACCCCCAGGTGATGTGACCCTGGGCTGTCTGCAGCAGGAATTCTGATGTATAGCTCTCACCACAATCCCCCTTACTCCTCGGGTCTCCTCTTGGTCATTTTCTATCCACTGACCCCATCTTGCTCCTTGGCTTTAAATTCCCACTTGCCCTCGCATTTAGAGTTGGTCCCAATCTCTGCCCCCCATTTCAAGAACTCATTGCAGTCAGTGGTCCAACACCTGTCACAATGGTCCTGAATATAGTCAGGCTTACTATCCTTTAATGATGTCACTTGATACACTTTTAAAAAATTTTTATTCTTATGTATTTGTCATACATAATGCTCACATTCATCATAGAGAATTTGTACCTGTACCTAATATATCTTAATTCTTCTTTTTTCCCATTCCCTTCCCTTCCCTTCAACCCTTCTTTCCCTCCCCATTTACAGATATTGAATACATTTTTGAAAAGGCATTAGGGGGCTGGGGATGTAGCTCAGTGGTTCCACAGCCTGCCTCGCAAGCACAAGGTCCTGAGTTCAATCACTGGTACAAAAAAACAACAACAAAAGGCATTCAGGGACATGGTGGAATCTGCATCCCAGAATCATCCCTCACTGGGCTCTATGGACTCTAAATGAAGCTGGCCTGCCCTGCATCCAGACAGAGAGGGATCCTGCAACCACAGCAGCATAGCTGGCTCAGGACACAGCTGGAGCAGCTGGTGGTAGGGTTGCCCTGCAGGGCATTGACCAAAGGGGCCTGAACCTCTCCTCTGCTCAGAAGGCTTCTTTCTGTCTCTGGGTGATGACTTCCCTTTCTTATAACACATTCTTTGGAAAATTTATTGTAAAGTCTTGTTTTAAAGCTTCTTGCTGGGAGAATTGCTTTAAGCCTAGGAATTTGAAGCCAGCTTGGACAACATTTCACACCTCATCTCAAGTAGCTCAGTGACAGAGTGCTTGTGTAGCATGCATGAGGCCCAATGGTGAGAGAGGGAGAGAGAGAGAGATAGAGAGAGAGAGAGAGAGAGAGAACTTTTGCTATTTTTAAGACTCAGAAACATGTTTCTCCAAGGCCTAGGCACCTTGTCTTTGAAGTATAATCATCTCAGGAGCTAGAGTCCTTATCCTCCAGGGTCTGGGAGAGACCTACCTTCCAACCCTGAGGTGCTAACTGCAGAGAGAGACCAGGAACACACCTGTGCTCAGGATGACACAAGAGTCAGTTGTCTCTTCGGGCCCATGCTAAGCATTTCATGCATGATTGTATCCAAGCCCCACATTATTCCTATGAAGTGGACGCTACTATTAACCCCACTATACAGAAGAGAAAATGGAGGGCAGGGGCCTTTTCCAGAGCCCACAGGAATGTGTATGCAGCTCTAGGATTTGAACCACACAGGGAGCAATGCACAGAACTGTGTGACACATTCCAGCCACCAGGGGACAGGCCTGCACCAGGGCGCCTGGCTCCATTCGCCCTATTCCCAACGTCTGGGCTGTGCAAAGGCCTCCGTGAATGTTAGTCAACCTCATTACTCCAGGTGGTAATTCGTGGGGATCTCACTTTAAACATTCCTCCTTGAGTCCAAACACACGTGCACACTCACGCATAGAGAGAAACGGTGCAAGGACGGGACGATTCCACTAGAACATTTAGTCTGAATCTGGCACTTCTATTTAGGTTTTTTTTTTTTTTGGTACCAGGGATCGAACTCAGGTCCTTGTGCTTGCGAGGCAGGCGGCAGAACCACTGAGCTAAATCCCTGGCCTCCCCTCCAGTTTTAAGGAAATTCCACCCACATCCCAATTCCACTCACACTGTGTCTCAGATCCACAGCCAGAACAGTATTCCCTGTATTCCTCCCCGACAAATTGCTCCTCCCCGCCTTGCCCACTCCGCATTGGGCAGGCAGAGGCCCCTGGGTCTCCTCCAGTCTCTTTCTCTTCCCACCCTATCACCAAAGCTGAGCTCTACCTTCAGAATATCTGTAAACCCACACTCTAAGCAAACATAGACTCAAAATAGATAGATATCTCAATGAAAGTGTTGTGCCCCCTTCGGCAGCACATATGCTAAATGAAAGGGCTAAAACCAGGAAGCTCTTAGAAGAAAACTCAGGCGTAAATTTTCATGACCCCAGATTAGGCAATATTCTCTTAGGTATGAAACCAAAAGCACAAACAACAAAAGAAAAATAGATTAAATGAACTCCATAAAAATTATAAGCTTTTGTGTCTTAAAGGATACCATTAAGAGTGAAAAGACAACCCATAGAATGGGAGAGAGTTCAGAATACACTTGTATCTAGAATATATAAAAAGCAAAGACAACTTAATAATAAAGACAACTCAATTTAAAAATGAACAAAGGGCCGGGGATTTAGCTCAGTGGTTTCGCCGCCTGCTGCACAAGCTCAAGGACCCAAGTTCGATCCCCGGTACCAAAAAAAAAAAAATGAACAAAGCATCTGAAAAGGCATTACTCCAGAGAACCTATACCAGTGATGGCAAACCTTTTAAAGCTCTCAATGATACAAACAGCCTGCTGTGGGATGCATGCCATAGGTTCACCACCACTGAACTATACAAATGGTCAATAAGGATGCTTGACATCATTAGCCCCGAGGGAAATGGAACTCAAAACCACCATGAAATAATACTTCACTCCAAGCCCACTAGGATGGCTACAGTGAAAAAACAAAGTGAAAAAACCAAATGAAAAAAAATGACAAATTGGAACCCTTGTTGCTACTGATGGGAACAAAAATGTTGCCGCTGCTTTGGAGAGAGTGTGGCCATTCCTCAGAAGCAAAACCCACAGTGAACATATGACCCAGGAACTCCACTCCGTATCCACATAAAAACATCAGTCCACACAATAACTTACCCATGAATGTTATGGCAGCATTATTCATAGAAGTCAAAAGTAGAAAACAACCCATGTGTCCATCAACAGACAGAGAGCTAAAATATAGTCTACCCATGTCATTGATAGCTAAGGACACCTACAAAATATCGTCTTGTGGGGAGAAAACCAGGCAGCAGAACAGTGTGTTTATAATATAGAACCTTTTTTTTTCTTTTTTTGGTACTGGGGATCGAA